TCGCGAGCGTTCATTTAACACCGAACTTCATTTGGTAGGCCCAAGTTCGCACTTGTGTGTCCTTGCCATTGGCACCGGCAGCACTGTTGAACTTGCTACAAATTCCAATGCACCCTCTCTCGGCGTACTAAGGCGGTTCGAAGTTGATTCCCGGTCTCCGGTCCCCGATCGACCCGAAGAATTTTGGAGTAAAAATAATAAATATTAGATCCACTTTTGGGCTTGGACCCTTCGATTTGGAGACCAACTTTTATGCGGATACCTGAAAATCGTTTGATCTTTTTGGCTTTTGCCCCGGAAATTGTGGATTTCCCCCCCTTATCAGCATAATGTGAGTAAAATATAATTATTATTTTTCCCCGAGCGACCGACCCACCCAAAAAGGGGGTAGGACCCGAAGTACCAAGTTTGACGGCGTTAACGGTATATAGAAATCCGGTGAATCGTAGAATCTCCACTGCTAGTTCCTGAAATCGCGAGCTTGCATGCAGTGACCACAATCCGCTAGAGCTGGATAGCTGGGGCGCTTCCTGCCATGGGCGACTGACAACCGGTGATCTGGACCGATCTGCTGGAAACGGTCTTGAAATCCCGCATGCGGCTAAGTTACTAGCAATGCATGACAATTCCAGTTCAAGCTCAGCTGTTTCGAGCTTTTCATTTGTCATTGGGCCGCCAATCATGAATTGTGCTGCGTGCATTCAAAAATCTGAAACTTGTGCATTCAATCGTAACTAGGACTGCATGACATGCCGGCCATGCTCCATTTACCAATACATACATAGACATGTGCGACACTGACATACCTACTAGCAAGCTTGCTTTGGCTTGCCGCACTTATCTGCATAATCTTGGGCACCGGGTACTTCACAAAAGGCGGGGGATCAGCCGACGTGGCTCCAAAGCATGCGCAACTCAACTTTGGTCAACTCACGTCTGTCGAATTAATGTGAAGCTTAGAAATTCAGGCAATCTGACAATGTGACCGGGCCAGAGGATCCAAGCTTTTCTTGGTTAATATCACCACTTCTGACATCAGTCTATAGATCAATGCGTTCAGGAGCTGTCAAGGTAAATGTTTACTCTTATATTGCAATCCGGTATGGGGATGATTAGCAAAGAGGTACTTTGGCAAAAAGTCGTTAAACCTACGGTGTGCCACACGAACTAATTTACAAGTATCTTAGCCTCCTTTGACGATATGAACTTTTCTCTTGCATACTTTCCTTGGAACGGGGCTCCACATGGTTGATGCTTCCGGTTGCCGGAGTTCTACAGATTTGAGGATCCCGTTTCGCCAGCGTCTATTGTACTCGACTCCTTGTTCCAAGACTCAAAACATCTGAGGATGCCCCATTGCTATCAGCAAGCTTTTCTCTTACGAACAACATTGTTCACTATCTTCTACCTGCAAGTAGACCACCCAGAAGCAATCAGGAGCAGAATCGGCGACTTGATGCAAGCATATAGTCTACTGAGTCGCATGCCCCAAGCCATTTCAGCGGTACTTAGCAAAGTACCGCTGCACCTTGTTCTTCCGTGTGTGCCGACAATGCGTCTGCAAGGAAAGCCTTTTTCGAGTCAGAACCGGTCAACTTCAGCAGAGACGACAAGCAAATGCAAACATCCAAGCTCACTGATTGGCCGCTTCGACCCCAACGCATGCGCCTTCGCCCTCCTCGGATGCTCCAGAGTGGACGTTGGCGCGGAGTGAGCCTTGTCGCCGGGCTTTGGGGGGACGGGAGGAGCAACACTCCAGGGGGCCACCGCAGGCTGCACTGCATCGGCTGGGGGGAGCCCATTGGCCACCGGAACTAGCAACGGCTCTTCTAAGGAAGGACCAGACGAGAAACTTTTTCGCCGGTGCTGCTTGGAGCCCCCGACGGGCATCTCTCGAAGGCAGATCAGGACGAAGATGGACGGCACGCTCTCTCCCACGGCGTAGTACGCGAGCGTCAGCAGCGGGTAGAGGGGGCTAGCGGGGTCCGTGCCCTCCTGGCTGCTCTCATCCTGGAGACAAATGGACGATCTAGTCGGACTAGGACAAGCTGGCTATATTGGACTCCTGACCCACGTAGTAAGCTGCGTTAAAAGGGCAGAGGTTTAAGTACGTAGTGCATTACGAACCAGCTGTGGAGCCAAGGCCATCCCCAACAGCCATGTAGCTATTACAGCCATCGGCAGTGAGACCAGGGGGGGCCAACTTTCCGGTGACGGGAGGCTCACCCGCAGGTTGTTGACCAGGACCAGCAGGGCGCGGAAGGTGAAGCAGATGAGGCATACGATGGCCAGCGTCGCCACCTGCACGTCAGCAGCATCAGCAACGGCCTGCCAGGACGTCGCTTGTGAAGGCGAAAAAGGCAGGACTCGATGTACCACGATGTCGAGGCATCTGTCCGCAATGATGCTGCCAAGGTCCAGAAGACAGTCTGCGGAAAGGAAGCATGGCCAGAAGAAAAGCATGTCTCGGGATTAAAGTCATAAGAGTCGCTTCGCCCACCTTGCCTAGGTCTGCGGACGTCTGCCCGGACTGGACCCTGAGCATCTTGCTGTAAAGGAGCAGACCATAGATGGCCAGGCCACCGCCGCAGAGTAACGTCAGGGTGGCAAAGAGGTCCGCATACAGCTGCACGGGACGCAGAGGTCAAAGTGAGCGAACACAAAAGAGGGAGCCTGAAACTGAATATTGCTTTGACAGCAAGGCCCGTTGATCAACCGAGAGGGCAGCTAAACCCAAAAATGGCTTTCTACAGGGCAAACTCAACACCCCCCAAAGCAATGCTTCTAAAGAACAAGTCGACAAGTATGCAGGGAGGATGGTGCAGGAGGAAGATGATTCGGAAGCGTACCTCGGCGACTGCCACTGAGTTTATTGGATTGTGGCCCATCCCAATCCATATGAGAAGGGCGAAAACGGCGGTGAGCAGGCAGATAACTGCCACAACCTGCACACCACTGGCGAGACAGGTGAGCGCGGGACCAAAAGAAGTGAGCGCAATGGACAAGGCCCAACAGTAGGGGCGATTCGACATACTTTTCATGAGGTGCATCTTCCTGATTCGGCCAGAGACCCGTCTGAAAGATGAATTTGCGTCACGAAAAGGCAAGCATTGAGGTCGAGGTGCCTTCGCAGTCTACAATCTAAATGGTGGAAGAGACAAGCGGTCTTGCGTCCAGCCAGCACGGACATCTGCAACAGATAAGCAACTGCACTTCACCACCGACTCAAAGAAACAGCAGCAGGGCACAATTCGATGAAGCTGCTCACCCCCACGAAGACGGCTTTCCTGCCCCGTGGCCGCAGCTTCTTCCACCAGAGCCGCCATCGCTGCCGTGAGAAGAATGCCCCAGAATGACCGCTATCACTCTCGGAGGTTCCCCCCCGGCCGTCCTCCACGTGGTCGGCCTCTTCCTCCTCCTCTTCATCCAGGTCCCTGGCTTGGTATACCAAATCAACCCAGAATGACAACAGCAGCAGAAACGTTGCCAGAAACACGATCTGGGGGACAGCTGCACACAAAGACGCCAGACAATCGGTCAGAGATGTGGTGATGAGAGGGAAGAGCTGAGAGCAGAAAGCCTGAGCGGTGAGGAAGAGCCTTGCAGAGCCCATCCACCTTTATGAGTACTTTGTGCGGCGACCCATACGCAATATGTACCTGTCCTACATGATACATCACATCGCATACAGAGTACCGGGAAGCAATGGAGGCCGGAACCAGGTGCCTGCTGAAACCACCTGATCGACCTTGAAGCTTGCGAAAGTTGGTACCGACATTTTTACGTTTCAGTTTTCATAACTGCAACAGCAAAACACTTCCCCCCCATGTGTCAACAATGAATGACGAGTCAGGTTGACTCTTCCGAGAAACCAATAAAATGCGCGACAGATGCCACGGGGGCAAGCTCACCCAGTAGCACGAAGCCACAGACGTTCCTCCAACAGGGCCACCCACCACAGGCCGCCCGGGGGTTGATCAAAAAGTAGAGGCAGTAACCTGCACCATGCCAACCCAGGATGTTTCAAGATGCAAGCACGCTTGTGGGCCCTGGTCTACTCGGACCAGACCTGAGGCACAGACCGAATGAAACACGCCGCAGATGTTTGTGAATATTGCTGAAGAAGAAGTCGTAAGCAGAATTGGACGATTTCGCTCACCAAAATTGGCTACTGCCACCATGGCATGGAACACTTTCTGCCTCGTCCACTTGCGTATTTGGAAGTGTATCCGGAAAAACTGCAAAGAACCACGAAACCCTTAAGGTTTGTGCTGGTCACGCCATAGAAGTGCATAAGCAACCACATTGCAAGCCGCCCCATCATGAATGCAATGTTGCAGTTAACTCTCAGAATTGTTTTTGAAAAGTAACATTGCGACCTTCTGCTTCAGACCCTGCCTCCTAGGACCTGATACCTTGTAACAACAGCCTGACCACTGCAACAGCAGTTGAGGTGGAGCACTCACCTGCACTGCCGCTACAGCACAGATTGCCCCATCCACAACCGTCATCACAGCATACACTATTTCCAGGTCTGGACTGAAACAGTGCCCCGTTGCAGAAAAGACCGCCATCAAATGCTGAGCAAGTCCTTTCATCTCCCGCAGCGCCACTCAGAATTGGGAATGAACAATGCTTCCTAGTCAACTGTGGCGTCAAAGGCTGGCAGTGGTGGCAATGCTATGGTCCTTGATGGGTCTTGAATCCTCGTTGCCAGGACTTGCTTGAGGTGCAAGCAGAGCAAACGCCTCCTCATGTCCAACTTGGCGTGGCCCAATGCGTTCTTCCAACGCCCTCAAGCCTCAGGTCAAGGAGTGAATGAAAACATCGAATGCGGAAAGTGACATCTGATGGCAATGCCAATGGCAATGCAGTACCGACAATGCCACTCATGCATGATCCTCGAGTGCTTTTGAGGAGTCAAGAAGTGACCAGTCAACACTGAACAGACTGACACTGACACTGAGTCTTAGCTGGCACCAGAGCGAGCGCCTTGATACCTCAATTGCGTAACCAGCCCAGCACACCAAGCTGCCATGGAACCATGATGGAGGTCGCTTTAATTGGCGAAAGAACCGGCATGCTTTAGCATCCTCTCAAGGCCTACATTCTTTAGTTTCAATGCTGGCCTGCGAGTGAGGGATCCCCTCCGGCGTGCAAGTGTGCCGCATCCTCATGCAGAACCGCATTGGGCGATGGCCAAAAAGATTGCATCACCTTCCTTCCGCGGCTCTGCCCATGCCAGCGCAATGGACAGGAGCTGGCAACAGCAGGGAGGTGCGCCGTCTAACAGCAATGTGGAGAATGATGCACGACAGCCGGGGGAGGCAAGCTGCGAGTCTTCCCACAGCCAGGAGGGAAGAGCCCTCTTGACAAGTACAGCTCCGGGAGCGGACAGAGAACTTGTGCCTGATAAGAAGTTGCAGGTGCCAAGTCAGGCGGGATTCATCTTGGCATTGACACTTGCGGCATCGGTGGGAGGCTTTCTTTTCGGGTCAGTGATTGTCCGAATCAGCTGGCACGCCATTACTCCCTAACCTCAGCAGTGAGGATTCAGATTTGAAATCTGCAGCTTGAACTGACTCCTGGACTCTCTATCAACACCACCCTAGCAATTGTAAAAAGTTGCCGAGCTTCAAACCCACAGGGTATACTTTTGGTTGTGTGGAGCTGTCTGCCGCTAACACTCTCTCTCATGTGGCAGGTATGACACCGGGGTCATTTCGGGAGCGCTCCTGTATATACGCGATGACTTTCCGAGTGTGGAGAAGAGCGTCGTGCTCCAAGAGACCATTGTGTCCATGGCGATAGCGGGCGCGGTGGTGGGAGCATCTATTGGGGGGCATGTGAATGACAAGTATGGGCGGAAGTTTGCCATTCTGGCAGCAGACATCTCATTCTTCATGGGTGCGGTGGCGATGGCGGCCGCTCAGTCCCCATTCGCCCTTATTGTGGGGCGGGTTCTGGTGGGGATGGGGGTGGGCGTGGCCAGCATGACGGTTCCCCTCTACATTGCTGAGGCAGCACCGACCAGCATTCGAGGAGCACTGGTAAGTCCATAACGAGCCCCACAAAGTCTTTCCTTCGGAGGCTATTCGGAGGCACCTTTAGGGGTCATGCTTGCTGCTAAACAACTAATCCCGCTTTGTCTGGATGAAGCTAGGCTTCATATTGAGTTTGCCACAATCAACACGAGATTGCTTGCAGACAAATTGTCAAGGAGGCTTCAGGAATCCTTTGACTTCAAGTTGGATGACGTTATTGGCACAGGCACTTCCTTGACGCTTGGTGTTGGCTACTTCTGCAGGTCAGTGTGAACGTTCTGATGATCACGTCCGGCCAGTTCATCTCGTACATCATCAACTACCTCTTCACGACTGTCCCTGGAACCTGGCGCTGGATGCTTGGCGTCGCGGGGGTGCCTGCGCTGCTGCAAATGCTGCTCATGCTCTTCCTGCCGGAGTCTCCGCGCTGGCTCTTCCGGTGAGCCAGCACGGGTTGTTTTTTAAACTTGCAGAGTGAGATCTGAAGGTGGTGTTCTGGAGAGCCACTGTGCCATCAACCTCCAAATACTGGCCTTTTGTAAACTTGATGTGAGGCCTCCCGTTTGCCTGTCTGTTTCAAAGACGAAAGCGATCATGTGGATCCCAGCATCGATTTGTTACCTTCACTTCCAGCTTCCAGAAAGTTTGTCATCAATCCGTCAGATTGTCAGCTGATTGTGTTGATTCAGAATAAGGCATGGTCATATTTACTCCTCCTTAACCGTTTCAAAAAAGCTCGAGAAAGGCTTCTCTGATGCTCACAAGATGATCTTGGAGCCATATCAACTTTGATTTTACCTCCAGAATGCCTTGAGAAATCACGTTTCCAACTCCAGGCAGGGCCGGGCGGAGGATGCGCGCGCGGCGTTGCTGCGGATGCGCAGCGTGGGGGAGGCTCAGGAGGAGCTGGAGCACATGGAGGCGGTGGCCGCTGCGGAGAAAGTGAGCGCGGAGCCGGCCCCCTCCTTCTGGGACATGGTGGCCACCACCGAGATGCGCCTCGCGCTGCTGGCCGGGGTGGGCCTGCAGGTAAGCGGGGGCGAGAAACGGTGCTTCGTGGCTCAGTCCGCGCATGGGAGTTGTCTCAACGACTGCCTGGCCGCGTGTCTGAGTGCGCGTGTGCTGGCTGCCAGCTTTGTGTGGGGTGCGGTGCAGGTGTTCCAGCAGCTGGTGGGGATCAACACGGTGATGTACTACAGCCCCACCATCGTCGAGTTTGCCGGCTTCGCCTCGCACCAGACCGCACTCCTGCTCTCGCTCGTCGTGGCGGCCATGAACGCCGCCGGCACCATTGCGGGTAAGCCATCCGTTCGAACTCATCCTTGTGAACGGGAAGCAGTGACTTTGGCTATTGTGTCAGGTCTCTTTGCAAGGGTGCAAGGCCGAACTCAGAAGAAGTGACAAGTATGATGAGCTGTTCTCTGGCGAAAGTTTGAAAGGGACCAATTGCATGGTGTTACCCCGATATGTTTTTTCGACGGTCTCTGCTGTATAAAGTTCTTTAACCTGCAGCTACCTTGATCTAGAGTAGTCCACAAGCCGTTCCTGCAGTCGAATTTCGAGCGCCCTGCCCACGGTGCCACTTGCATGTGTGCAGGCATCCTGCTGATCGACCACGTCGGCCGCCGCAAGCTGGTGCTGTGCAGCCTGGCCGGCGTCACGCTCGCCCTGGCCTTGCTGGCCTTCTCGTTCCACCAGGCTGCCCACGACTCCCCCGCCGTCGCCCCGGGGCCTTTTGCCCCGCACCCCGGCCTGGAGTGTCCCCTGCTCCCGAAAGCGGCTCTGGCCGGGGGCGGCCACGACAGCTGCATGAGCTGCTTGGGGGCCAGCTGCGGCTTCTGTGCGGCCTCAGGGGACGAGGTAAGACGATACCACAAACACTGCACTGCTGTCGTTTCTGAGAATTGGCGCCGCTCGAAGCTGCCTGTGTCGTGGCTCTCGAGGGCCCGTCATTCGAGCAACATGTGTGGAATGTTGTGTTTGGGCGTGACTTACTTTGCGCCTGATGTCATGCACGTCAGTAGTCCCTTGGGAACCGAGACGTCAACACCATAACACGGCCTTACAAAGGATCGTATACCTCGTCTTCCAGCATCACGAGCCGTGTCCTCTCCATCGCGTATCAGCTTCACCCTCTCTTTTATGTGTCCAGATGTGGCCCGGCAGCTGCCTGGTCCTCAACTCGACATCCGGTGCTGCCTGCGAGGGGGCCGGCCGCGCCTGGTTCTCGCACGGGTGCCCCAACCGCTACGGCTGGCTGTCGCTCGCCGGGCTGGGCCTCTACATCGCGGCATTCGCACCGGGCATGGGGCCCGTGCCCTGGGCCGTCAATTCGGGTAAGCCGTCGTTGCAGTGGGACAGCCTCTGGAAGACGAAAGATGGTCCTCTCTGAGCGCCACTTTGACCACTTACTACAAGCAGTCTGCTGCCAACACTCAACGGCTTCGGTGAAGCTTTTCGATTTGAGCGAGGCAGCATGACGAACTCTCGTTCTGAGACTGAGCGCGCCATCTCCTGCTGTTGCAGAGATTTACCCGCTGCGCTTCCGCGGCACGGCGGGCGGCGTGGCGGCGACGGCCAACTGGGTGTCCAACCTGGTGGTGGCGCAGACGTTCCTGTCGCTCACCACCGCCATCGGCACCGCCGCCACCTTCTCGCTTTTCGGCATCGTCGCAGTGCTGGCAGTCCTCTTCGTTGCGGCTTGCGTGCCCGAAACCAGGAACATCGCCATGCAGGTTAGCCGCGTGTGCACACTCAAAGCTTTCCCTGGAACTCTCGTTATGTTGGGAGGCAATCATTCGGATGCTCGTTGCTGCCTTCGCCGCGTTTAGACTCCCTTTTCGTGAAGGTCAAACCAGCTCTGCTTGACTTGAGGAGGATTGAGCCATGCTCAGGGAAGCCTCTTGCATAATGAAACTACTAGGAGTGCCGAGAGAACGGCCTGAAGAAGGTTAGGCTAACCGGGTCTCGATGTGGGCTGGGTAGGATATGGAGGAGATGTGGGCTGCTCGTGCGTGGAAGCTCGGCCGGTGGCGGGGCTGGTGGACGCCGGAAGTTGCTTCACAGCATTTGCGCCTTGAAAACGAGGGGCCATAGTGCGCTACTGGTGCGGTACCGCGTGTGTAGCATATTGACTGACTCGATTAACTGAAAAAGAGATCACAGACGGGAGATCCTGAATACCTCAGAGCTTTGACGAGGCTTGGGACATCTTGCATGCACTTGGCATGGACGGATCAGATCCTGTGATCGATTGAGTGCTGGGTTTCCGTCGACCTGTCTCTTTAGATTTTTAGCACGCCAATGGTGCTGTTGACAGTTGATAACCAGAGAGTAAGCGTAACTGCTCAATGTATCCATAATGACGCTGGCCCTTTTACTTCCTGTAAGCCGTTCGAAGGGTCACTCAAGAGACAGGGAGGATAAGCTAGGAAAACTAATCAGACCAAACGGTGATTGATTCGACGCCTTGACCGGGACGAGCAACTGATCTAGCGAGGACTCAGGGTTAGCTCAACAATGAAGGAGCTCTTTGTACATGCACGTTCAACAAATTAAATTCCACTGCTTGATTCTCAGGTCAGGCAAACTTTGTCATGGTGCAGACAAGACTCCACACCAAGTTCAGACGTCTGATGTACAAGCAACAAAAAGCCCTATGCAGCCTCTGATCGGCTCGTATATATATCAACAACTAATCTAGTTTTACTCTAATAATGGATGGATCCCGGGCCGACCATATACAAACCATCTAACCTAGCTTGATACCTCAACGCCCGCTTGCGATCGCTTATAGATATATTGCACACACATGACCGCGCGCCTCCTACTCCGAGTCACTACATGGATGGCCGTCTGTGCGACGGCAAAGGCTTGCCTCTTCCTAGATTATAACCGCAATCAACGGTTGACAATCGCAGCCGGCTTCGAATGGCGATTTTTGTTTTCTACGGTGTAGATTTCGTACTCGTGAAAACAGCCAACCGAGCGGGCGCAAAATTTCGACGTCGAAGACCGAGACATGCACGAAGGCCGACTTCGAGACTGGCACCATGCAACGCTCGGACCAGAGTGCTCGCTTCGTAAGCTGCAACTGCGCCGCACGGGGAGCCCCAGTCCAAAACATCTCGCACCGTTATACGGTCAAATGTGTGTTCAAGCACTGTACGTTCTATCGTCGAACCGAGCCAAATCAAGCAGGTCGAATGCCGGGCGCGCACCGCGGCGTCGTACAGTGGCCAAAAGCCCCATTCCATGGGTTTCCCTCTTCCTAAGAGGAAGAGGCAAGCCAATATCGAGCCGGCGGCCGATGGGCCAGCCGCGATCAATCTGGCCATGCGGTGATCAAGCAGTTGATCAATTCCACATCATTTCAGGCTATCGACCGCGTGGCGTGATCTAGACTGAGACGAGGCCGTATCATTGCACCTTCAATATTTACGCTGCCGGGTTACTGTTCACGTGCAATCAAACCTAACCGGATCTGTTGCTACTATATGTATCAATTAAGCAAGCTCGAGTACTGATATGCAGCTTTTCTCAGTCCGGCCATATGGGGTTGAACACTCATGAACATGCATATTTCATGCACTACTTTAATGAAGTCGACTTGAGTCCTACATACCAATAGTATATATCGATCTAGCTAATACTTGATTCAAAATAATATGAGCCGCGGTGCCACGTATCGGACAACGTCACTCAGTGCACGCATTAATACTGGAAAACATCTGCCCTGATCGGGCCTCATGTATGGTCACTGTATATCGGTGCGCGACGGTCGATTTGTAATCGTGAAGCAGTATCGATCTTTGATTCACGCGCTACATTGATTTTATTTGTTCCTACGAGTAGCTCGATCACTCATGTTGGAAGGTTGATGCAGATATTGCACACCGGCATGGCAAACTTGGAAAATTGCCGCAAGTCAACCCCGCATCCCAGCTCAGCTTGAGAACTACATCATCTGGTGGCTGTTACAGCTTTAGTCCGAGATCAGTGGGGTGAATCTCGAATGAAGCAATATTCATGACTAGCTCTGATTCTTTGAGTTACTCTATAAACTTTTGCGATTAGTGTTTGACTATACATTTGTTGAAATGTTAAAATGTTCCGGGGACTCTACTTTGCCCATCATCGAGCTGGATGACGGCCTCGCTAATTACACTTTTGTTAGGTTGCTTGGGAATGCTCATGGCTGCTTAAGACTGCTCTCGTTGACGCACACAGCACACGCGAATCGCCTGTCGCGGAGCTGGAGAAACCCTCTGGTCCCTTCCTGCCTCGCTAGATGGCCGCCAGTTGGGTCGCCAATCTTGGATCCCCAGGGGGGCCACGTATGATCAGTGCTCTTTCGGATCTTATATAATCATTGGTGCAACGTGTACGTCACCACCCTCTTGATCTCTACCTCTGAGTCGCTCCCTTCATCGCTCTCTCCCGAGCAGTCTGCCGACTCCGCAGCTCGGTGCCGGCAGCTTTTGCACTGCTCTTTCTCCTCTGCTTGCAGCGCGGACAGGATCAGGATCGCCCCCGACACCACGAACACCAGCACCAAAGTCACGGACAGCAGCACGCCGCAGCGCCCGCTCACGGCCGTCCACCAGCGGGGGGCCCACCGGGGAGCAAGGCCTGCAGCCAGGACAAGACGAAGTGTGGTCAGTCACTGTGAGTACGAAGGGATGGGCGACGAACTGACCCCCATCCTTGATCTGACAAGCCAAACGCTGGTACCTTTTCGAAACCTTTGAAAAAGGAGAATTGATGGCTAGTAAGTGCAACGTAGAAACCCAATGTGGGCGCTCACGAGTCACTGTTCAACAGGGGGATCCCGTTGGTCTCCAGGACATCCGAACATTTGTATAGAGTGGCTGAAGTCTGTTCCTAAGCCCGCGGTTCAGGGTCACGCACGTCTTTCTTCTCACTGTCCCTAAGAGCCGAGGGTTTTGGCGTAGCGTCCTCACCTTCCCGGCTAGGGATGCGCATTACGGAGATCTTGACCTTGCGGTTGAGATGCTGCATGTTGAGCTCGGGCCCGTGCTGCAGGGGCAGCTCCTCCGACTCCCCGTCGCCGCTGTCGAACTGGTGGAGCAGGTCCAGGACGGCGTCGCCCTCGTCCGCAAAGCCAGAGCGCGTCAACAGGTCGAGCTGCTGGAACGAGGAAGAGTCCAGGGTGAGGCACTGGGGACAAAACGAGCAGAACGTGCCTGAATATAGTCGGGATCCGGCAACAAATCTACATCTTGATGAAGGAACTAGAAGGCAGCTTATGTATGCATGGATGAGACACAAGGATGCAGGACGCCGCAGTGGGCAGTTTACAGCCTTAGCAATGAAGTCTTGAGGAGCAGATCCGATGACCAGATTCAGGAGGCTCTGACCAAACCTTTAACCGGCTTCCAGGCGGAGGTTGTTCGAGCCCTCACCACAAAAGCACCCACCATCGCTTGGAATAAACGAAGATTTAAAATGGGAGATCAGGCTCACCTCTTGAACTTCGTGAGGGGCGGACGGGCTGGCCACCGCGGCGTGCCTCTTGGTCAGGCTGTGCCTCCTGGGCCCCGCCACAGGCTCGGCGCCGTGGGTCGTCCAGAGGCCGCCCAGCAGCTGCTTCACGTGGTGCCACATGCAGTGCACCCACGGCATCTCCAGGTGCAGGTGACCCACAACTAGTCGCATCTGCACCTGCACCGACTCCCCAGAGCTCGCGCTCTCGCCTGCGTCCAAATCGGACTGCTGGGCTCCCCCATTGGAGTGCGCCAGCAGCGCTGCCTCAGCGTCGGTGGAGGGGAGCACGGATCGGATGACCTGGCCGTTGATCTTACGGCCGTGGCGAACGAGCCCCCCCTCAAGAGCATGGCGCGCGGCTTCCTCCAAGGCGGCCTGGCTGCGCAGCTTGTTGTGCTGGATGGCATCCAAGATAGATGTGAAGAGCTGCGCGTCAAAGCTGTCGTCGTCCGCCAGCACGTTCTCCACGTCCTCCGCAGACAGGCGCTGTACGACAAAGTGAGCAGGTTAGAGGGGCAGAGCCACAGGCCGACTTGATGCAATTCTGTAACATCAAAGCTGGACAGGACCTCGGAAGTGCTGACAACCCAGCAGCAAAGACAAGGATGGTAGCAAAAGTAGGAGTTAAGGAGAATGGCATTGGCCAGAGACTGACGGAGCCCGTTTGCCGTTGAGGATGCACCTACCTCCCAGTAGTCGTTGTCTGGGCTTGGCTCTAATGATCCAAGTGCATCAGCCTCGCCAACGTGTTGAGACTGCAAAAGGAAGCATACATCAGGTCAGATGGGGCTAGGGAGCCAGAGCTGATGGGCGCAATGTGATCGGCGAAGTGATGACGAGCCAGGTTCAGCTGCATTGGGTTGTGGGCGGAGCTCTGGAGCAGCAGAGAAAAATTGGGGAGAATTTAGACAGAGCTGTGGGAAAGAGGGAACTCAAGGAAAAGTGTTGCGCTGATTGGAGCAGCCAATAAGGGATGCCATGCAACTAGGTTGGGCGCCTGCATGGGGAGGCACTCACCTCCAGAAGCTTGGGAACAGCGTGCGCGGATCCAAGCAAGGCAGCACCCACCAAGCAAAGCAGCAGCAAGGTCGTCATTGCGCGCTGCATGCCTGCCATTGTGGGGTTCCCTTTTTCTGCAGCTGAGAGAAGCACCGTGCTACCTGCCTATAGTTGCGAGCACAGCTGGCGCGATGCAGCCGGTGCAAGCAACCGACAGAACTAGTCTGTATCCCCTGAGCTGTCTCTCACAGACTCCCTTTCTTCGCTCACAGTATCCTTAGGAGCTCTCTGCTGCAATCAGTGTGGCGTTTGTCTGAAGGTTTCAAACTCGAGTCAAGTCCACCCCTATCCTCCAGAATGAATAACGAGGACCCCGTTTCTACCAGATTGAGTGCCAGACTCATTGGCATTGTCCTCAAGGGGACGAAGAGCATGGTTCGATCCAAGCACGGAGTCTCAGTGACACTTTTCCCCAGCTGCATTGCAGTGCATGCTGGTACTGCTGTCTAACCTTCATAACCAGCTAGCAGCTGCTGTTGTCACCAGCCTATACTGAGTCGAGAGTCGACATGTTTAATCGAGTCGTATGTGAACCTAATGGGCAGCCGCAAATCTCAGCGCACGTTTCTGCTGGCAAGCCTGTGAACGTCAACCAAGTCACGCGTATATCTGGATGCAGAAGATCCAACACAGGCTCGTCCTCGCCTCCAGGCTCTCATAGCTTGTACATTCACCAACAGCTGCACGGAGCATTTTGCGTCAACAGCACTGAAAGCGCTTTGCCATTTGGCTGCTTGCCCCTTCAGGCGAACATTCGCGAGAGGTTGGCGACAGCGGCCTCGCTTTCCAGCGTCCGTGTTCAATATGCGGAGCTGCAGCTTATCCGCTTCCACCCCTGACTCTCTGACACTACGTTTGCAGTAGCAGGTGGGCCATGGGCATGCTCATACCGGTATGTGGATGCGCGAGACCAGCGCTGGAGCTTGGTGACGACATGCGCTGCGGGAGGGGAACGAAGCTTCAGCCGTCGATGGAAAAGTATCCAAGCCATCTACCGCTGCGTTTAGCGCGTCTGATCGTCTGCGCGAGCATTTATCGAGTCCGGCGGCACTTGAAATGCCTACGGCAGTCCTACATGAAGCGCGACCCCGGTAGTAGCGGACGCTTGATACAATCTGCGAGTAAATCACAAACCTATAGCACATACTTAAGTATGGTCGCCGGTACTGCAACCAGCATATGTTGCCAATCAACGTGGCACGATTCGTACATACAAGTAACAAACTTCCTACGGTACGTTCTCTCAGCCATACATCCATTTAACTTGAGTCCTGAAGCTTTCTGGCAAGGACACGGATGCTTTCGTCGCCCCTTCGTCCCGCTTCTGTCCTGGTAGTCGACTATTGGTCACCGATGCAGGTTGATGCAGCCCGGCGTCCACTGCATGTAGCTCGACCTGTATACGCAAGTGGTTCGGCGAATGAGCAAGCTATGAACTCTGTCCACTTCTACTTACCCAATTGTCTAAATTTTCGTCCAAGTACGTCTGCGGTTCGGTGCAACCACGTCAGTGGCATCCAGTAGTCTCACGAACACCCTCCTGCCTCCGAACACCACAGTCACTTCTAGCGTCCGACGAGTCATGAGAGAATCGATCGAGCCCCATCTTTTCAAGTTCCTCTTGCTTGCCATGTGCTTGGCTACTATGGTACTGTGTCATTCCGCAGCCGATACGCCGTAGACTTTAACGCATGTCTGATTGCACTTGGCACACAGATCCCAAATTGGTTCCCTTTCAAGACCTGCATCTTGCTGATTTTATTCAGTCGGCCACCACAAAATCTCGTGAACCTGATGGAGTACGATTCGTCTGCACAAGTAATATTGCCGCCCGTTCAGTGGGCAATGCAAAGCTTCGCCTTGTGTGACGGGTGTATGACTTGCTGACTATCACTACTTTCTCACAAAGAAAGCTGCCTCCAAGAATGATTTATTGTGTGCCGTTACAATCCACCAACTGGCAAGCCGCCATGATTGGACGGTCCAGCTTTGCTGCATGTATGGTGTCGTCATTGAATTGCAAAATTGAACCAGGGTGGTATAAGATCATGGGACCCATGATCTGACAACACCGATCGTACTTTTTGACAGAACCACCATGCATAGAATTAATCCTGAGTAACTGCCCTGTAAATTAAGAAGGCTAAAAATGACTTTTGAAGTCTAAAACCTTATATTTGATCCATTTGGCTTCATGTGCGAATGGGTTGGATGCTGATACGCACCCCAAGCTTACGATATTGTGCATCAGAATAAACATCATCGGGCATCGGGCCGGGCTAGGGCGGCCACCCACGATAGGCGTCTGGGTGGTCCGCAAATGCATATATCGTGGTCCGGAAAGGAACGACTGATCACATCGATCTGACGGTCTGTGTGTATACGCAACCAACTTTTGACTACCATGCATGCGCATGCAATCCGATCCGTTCAACGCCCACGGTGCGCCATATGATATCGGCCGTCATGCAAGTCGACAAGTGGCTGCGCTGGATCGCGCGACAACTGTTTGTCATGCTCATAATTCACGCTTGCAGTACGTGCCGCGTGCAACATGCATCGCCACTGAGCCATGCTGCGGCTCAAACATCAGTGACTATATGTCCGACTATACTTAATCGAAGCTTCCCCAAATGATCGCGTGAGGTCGAGGCATGCCCGCGGGCCAGACTCCGGATTCGCCAACCAGCCAACATGTTCAATTGCAGCGCGGTGCCGTCTTACAAAAGATGCACATGTGAAGCATGCCGCCCGAATCTCGTTCTCTCCAACTGCACAGCTAGCGCGGGAGCTGTCTCACTGGCATCCAAGGCACATGGGGTCAACTGAGAAAGTACACCGTTGTGATCCGAGAGCTGACACGATGTAACAAAAAGATCCACCCACTAGCTTCGACCATGACGTACCCGACTCGCATGTCGTTCTAGAATACAATGTCGTGTAACCTGTGAGGATCCCGACTATGCCTTACAGTACTCGTCTTGAGCAAGAAAACGTCATCTCATTTATTGCACTGCTCCCCGTTTCAACATGTCTTTCTCTCGTTTTCCCGTCAATCTGGTTGCCAACCTCCTCTCTCAGCCGCAACGCTCAAAGGCAGAATCACCGCCGCAGGCTGCTCTATTGATTGACGATGTCCCGTCATGCCCTAACGGAGTCCGCGTCCAACTCTTCCAGCCTGGGGGGCGGGGCCTCCATCGTCAGGAACTTGGGCTCCTTGTCCTTCAGAATGGAGAAGGTCAGCAGGTAGAAGAAGCCAAGCAGGCGCGCCTGCTGGTACGCGGCCCTGCAGACACGCCGTCCGAGACACGCGGTCACGCAATGTGACATGCTCTCCCAATTGGTGCAAACTACCTCAATCTTCCCATACAATCACGCAACTCACATCGACCACCGAGGTTGTCGTGTCTCTTCAAAACCTCACGACCCCTGCTCTAGAAAAATGTCGAGGCAAGTGCTGCCGATTGGTCGTAAAGCTGCGCCGTGGTGACCGGTCCTTTCTTCCACTTGGCTCACCCATGGATGCTGGAGTCCCCAAAGCCGAGCCGCTTGAGCACGCCCTCGCCGGTGGCCTGGTCGCCCGGCTCGGCCGCGTCGAAGGTAAGGCCGCGGAACTCATTCACGGACAGACCCTCGAAGGCCCACTTGATGAGCGACACGCGCGGGATCCAGCGGAACGCACGCGGCGCATTGTCCGGGTTGATGTAGTATCCGCCTGCACAGGGACCAGCCGTGCACAATGCTGAGGCAGCAGGCAACGGCAAACACGCAGCTTCCCACCAAGGAAGCGGTGCAAATCAGCTTGACACACATCTTCAGAAAGGTCAACCACTTTAACGAGCGACCGCAATCTGGGCATCGAGATCGTAGTACAAAACCGTTGCTCCTTCACGAACACACTGATGCGCTTATCAAATTTGAGTAATGTGGCTACGCTCGGTGCTGAGGCGGCGCGTGCTGACCGAAGACGATGAAGAGGACCATGACGGACGGCCCGAGCGCGAGCGCGGCCTCCGTGGTGGGCGACAACGAGCCGAGCGCCAGGCCCAGCGCGCTGCTGGTGAACGACTCCAGAGTGACCAGGCCCAGGAACTGGGCGAACCTGCGCGGAGGAGGGAGGAAGGAGGGTGGGCGCGGAGAAGGACTGCTCGTGGGAAACGGATGCGCAAATAAATCCGATAAAAGGCGCACGAGTGGTATACACGGAACCAAGCAACCTGAGCAAAAGGTTTGCAACCTCAGAGGCTGCGGCCTGGTCTGTGCTGCCCTTGACGTGTTACACAACAGCTAGCCAGCCTTCACAGGTATCCTTGATTAGAGTCGCTTCCATTGCGTCGCCGAATAACCTTTGAAGGGTCTTAAACAGACGGAGTCCGTCGATCATGATGAGCATCTCCCCGGCTGACTGGTCGGCCCGAGAAGTCTTTCTATGACGCAGCATGGGGGTAAACTTTGCCGACCAGTCCAGTAGAAATTGCGATCAATCAGATGCGTCTGCCCAAGCTGTTGCTGCATCTGAGATGCGGGTGCGCGGCTGACCTGGCGGCCCCGGCGTGGAGGCCTGCCATGGGGTAGAGGAGGCAGCCGAAGCCGAGCGGGAACAGCGCCGCGATGGGCAGCTCCGCCACCAGCTTGCTCACGAAGTAGGGCGACACGCCGTACTGCCCCTTGGCGCGCTCGCGGTTTACAATGTCGCGCTCGCGCGGGAACGCGTCTGCACGAGCAGGACACTCGGTCAAGGCAGGCCGGACAACCGGGCTGCTGCGGGCCAAGGCTGATTAAAATCGACGGCCTTCTTCCCTGCTGTGTGTAGCCTCTTCGTTCTGTCGGTCGTGTGAGCGCTTTCCCGGCCGAGCAGTTTGGCAGCTTTCTTCGCTGAGCTAGTGCTGGCAAATTGCTCTGATCAAGAAAGGTCCCTACGGTATGGCTGTAGCAGACAACTGCGTTTGAGGTTAAAAGACCAAGCACGGTGTGTAGGAGCAAAACACAGGGGAAACCAAAGATAGGCACGGACGCTCACTGATTGTCTTTGTGAGGGAGGCCATGGCGGTGTTTACGGCAGCAACCTGCAACAGCACCCCCAAGGTGTCAGTTTCGGGCTTAACCGGGCAGCAAGGAGGACAAGGTCTGAAGTAACCAGAACTTCCATGAACAACTTCCGCGAAACCCGACAAGAGCCAAAACGAACGTTAGTAAAGGCTCTGCTTCGCCATGTGCGAGTAGGCGTCCAACGGCTTTGAGTGCGTGCGCACCTGGAGGAGGCCCATCCTGTCCTGGATGGTGGACTGCTTCAAGCCGAGCCGCCAAAAGATGGACCCGAAGATGAGCGCCGACGTGACGTTCATGGCGCCGCGCACGACGTTGGTCGTCTTGTCGCGCGTCACCTGCACACCGCCGGCCAGCGTCAGACAAGCAGCGGGCCAGGGACGAGCGGGCCAGGGACCGTCACACACCTGGCTGTAGCCCAGCCGTGAGCAGTCACGTGAACATGCCTCGTAAGAAGGACGAGGGGTGACGGCCGAGGGCGCGACCGAGCAAAGTTGTCCTTTGACTGCACATCCGCTCAGTTATCGTTAGCCCCAATTATTTTTTGCAAGGTGTCCATCTTGGCCGCTCCAGGTGGTTCTGCCCGGCATCGACCGCTGTCTGCGCAGCCCGGACTGGCCCGCGCTGACCTGCCGCCAGGACCTCTCGAGCAGCAGCCGGAACTGCGTCCGCCACCCGCTGCCCTGCTTCCCCACCGCCTGCTTCGCGCGCTTGATCAGCGGCTTCTCCGTCCCCTCCTTGCCGTCCTCTGCCGCCGCCCCTGCGGTGCTGTCGCTGTGTTTCGTGTGCCAATTAACGAAGGCCTGCTGGAGCTGCGTCACGCGCTGCCGGCTGGCCGCCTCCAGGTCAGGGGTGGAGAAGTCGTATGCGATGAGGTCCGCATAGAACTCGGCCGGGTTGTAGCGCTCGGGGCATTTGTGCCTGCAAAAGGTTCGACAAGGGTGATAACCAAACGGTTAGCACTGTACAAGGGCGCTTCGGTCACACAGGTCTGCAGTTGCAAGATTCGGTAGTCTGATTGGCGTTAGTTTGGGAGAAATTCGTGCAAGGGACCCACCAACGAAGAATGTTACAAGACTGTACACAGTCATGGCAGCCGTCTCAAACGAGCGGGAGAAGCACCTCCGCAGCGAAGTAAGCCGGCAGCTCTGAATGGGAGAGAGAGCCTCCGTCCGCCTCACCCCTGCTCCTCAAAGAAGGGCAGCGCGCCCTCGGCGGCGCCCTGGTACACGAGCTGGCCGTCAGCGAGCAGGACCAGGTCGTCAAACATCTGGAAGATGCTGCCACGTGGCTGGTGGATGCTGCACACCTGGAATGCAGATTCTGCTTTTCAGGAGGTAAGCACGACCGTAAAGACCACAGATAATGGGCGACCTCACCGGCTCGGCATCTCCTGCGTGCATACGGCCTCAGCCAGACCTGCCTCGACAGCTGCGGGGGTATTTCGGTCAAGCTAACAGCGCCAGAGGCAATATTAGCTGTTCGAAGGGGCGAGGGGGGGAGGGGAAAACTCGAGAGGATGGTTTAGGACACTCCGTTCAGGGGTCTTTGTGATGTCAGGAACGTAACAACGTGCATCTTGTGGACGACCAGTGGCAGTTACGCACCACAGTGTGGCCATCGCGGGCCAGCTTTTGCAGCGTGCGCACCACCTTCTCGGCTTGGAACGAGTCGAGCCCTGCAATCGACGAAGAAAAGCGAGTGTTCAGTTGTTACAAGTACGTTACGGAAGAATGGATCTGAAAGCTGATGGTTTTGGACATTGTAACAAACGGCTTCGATCTTCAAATAGAGTCGCAAGCTACCAAGAATTTCCAGGGCAGGATCAGAAGTAAGCCTTTGATAGGGGATGCGCCTGCAATGGGGCCTCCGCAATGGGGCCTCCGCACATGTGGCTCGCATGTGGCCCCTTGCTTTCTAGGGCTGGGTCGGGCGTGGGGGCTCACCTGTGGTGGGCTCGTCGGCAAAGATGATGCTAGGGCTAGAGATGAGCTCGCACGCGATGCTGAGGCGCTTGCGCTCCCCGCCACTGATGCCGCGCACGCGACGGTCGTCACCCACGATGGTGTCCGCGCACGCAACGAGGCCCAGGTGCAGAATGAGCTCCTCTACGTATGCATCCTTCTCCTCGTCCGGCTGCGACTGCGGCAGCTGCAGCTGGGCCGCCATGCGCAGCGTCTCACGCACCTGCAAGGCGCGTAATAGGAGTGAAGGGACGGCCCATATCAGATTTGAGGGGTGTTCAAGTCAGTTCTGGATGTTTGCAGACAGGGAGTGACAGGACCAATATGGGCAGTGGGCTTCAAAATGGGAGTTGTAACATAAGCAGTTTTCACTCGAATATAAGGAAAGGCGGGAACACGGAAAATTCCGTTAAGCAATCGAGCAAGTTCACGTCCTTCAAGATTCTGTCCAATTAGGCGAAAGAAGAATTGCCAAGAAGAGCGCATCCCCTCTCCAAAGGGCAAGAAGGTTTTGCCCAGCGGTTTCACAGCGCATGTTGCCATGGCCGTTTCTTTGTTCGCACCCCCTCAGGAGGTCATTCTCGGCATGCTCCGCCCCTCACCGTCAGCTGCGAGTAGAAGATGTCGTCCTGGCGCACATAGGCCACCTTGTGCTCCTTGAGGGAGGCGCTCTCCTTGCCGTTCACCAACAGGCACCCCACCAGCTTTACCCGCTTCGCCTTCTGGGTCTGGCCCGCCAACGCATTCAGGAGCGACGTCTTCCCGCTCCCTGCATACAGGAACCGGACACTGTCGCTCAAGATGCAGGTGCACAGGTTTCCGTACGCTCTTCTTCCTGAACTGAAATTTGCGACAAAAACCCCAGTGCCCCTTTCTTCATGTCCTGGGACCGCTTGGTCCTGATGCTACTCATACAATTGCAACTGGGATGGGTAAGCACTTTGTTTGTAGGATTGATTGTCGAAAGTCCTCAAAGCCTCCATCCACCATATCATGTGATGTGACGCACTGGTGCTGGGTACTAAGTGCTTTGGCCGCAGGCAATATTAAGAATATGTTTGTCCTTCCAGGGGGATAGAAGCAACAAGGCTGCGCACAACACTGGGCAACAAAAGGAAGCTATTCAAGCTTACAGTGCTCAAGTTGCTTTCTCTACCGTTTGAAAGTTTGACTTTTGTGCTGAATTTTCGAGTTTGGTGCTGAATGTTGTCCTTGACTTTTGTGGTGCAATTTGCCATTGTTTCTTTAATCAGATGCTTCTCAAAGGTAAATTGCTGCAACAATTCTGCAGCTACAATCGCAGCATGAGCAAATCGGAGATGCTGCGCTCACCGGAGGGCCCCATGATAGCCAGCAGTCGCCCGGGGGAGGCCTTCCCATTGACGCCACGCAGAATGTGCTTCTTGGCGCGCCCCTTCTTGTCCAGCAGCGTCATGCGCACGTCCTGCCATTCCAGTGCCACGCCGGTGCTGACTTCATCCACCACGGAGCTGGCCCCGTCCTCCGCCTTGCGCGCCCGAATGTGGTTCCGCACTCCCTTGACCAGCGTCCATGCGGTGCCCGCAGCGAGCGTGGCCGCCCGGTGCTGGGGCAATGTGGCCCACACCACAGTGCCAATCACAAGGCTAAACATGGCGGCAGTCTTCTGACACCCCTGCGGCAACGAAATTCACAATTCGTTTCTCACCGCCTCCAATCGGACGCATCGTCTACGACATGATGCCTGCCGAGACTGGACGTTCTCGCTCCGGGTCGCAATCGTCGTCCTCACCATGATGAGAGGCCCTTTCAAGACGAAGCTTGTGCTCAGCGCATGCGATCAGAAGCTCGGCCGTACGCTATGGGCGACTGGCGGCACTTTCACACACTCTTTGTCTTCGTGCAGAATCGAGAGGCGACATTCTGGATGCCAGTTCAGTGTGAACGTGTGCTCTAAAATCTCAGGGGTCTCGTCCGACAAGACACCGACGCCTGCGTGAAGTCCCGGCCACGAGATACGGTACTGTGGTGCAGTGTGCAGTGTGCACCCGTGAGTCGTGACCCAGTCTAAACTGTCTCTAGAGTAGTCGATGTAATTTCGGACAACTCGAATTTCGGACAGGCAAAGTATTTATCGAATTTCGGATGGCCTTATCGAATTTCGGACTCAGTAGAGTTCCAGTTTCGCAGTCTGCGGAATTCGGGTTCCGAGTGACGGGAACCTCGACGGACTTTCGTCGGCATGCCGGGATGCCGGATTCCGGCGCCGACCAAATCGATCGGAGCTCCAGCGACCAAGCCCCAAACCGCAGTCTGTGAAACTGGGTCGTTCCCTGAGTCCGAAATTCGATAAGGCCATCCGAAATTCGATAAATTTCTTGCCTGTCCGAAATTACATTCGTCCGCAATCCATCGACTACTCTTAGTAGGTAGTTAGTCGTAAACAGTCGTTCAAGGTTCCGTGGAGGCGCCCGGAGCGAGGCATCGGCTGGTGACCTTGCCCCCCACTTTGGCAGGTGACGGACCGTTGAAAATTGCATATTGCCTTGAAGGGTGAATGCGCCCGCGACTATCTGAATGGCTGCCGGTGCTTCTGGCATGAAGCTGCACTGATCCGCGTCAGAGCCTGTTGAGTTGCCGTAAGCCAAAGCCGGCAGCGCCCGCTACGTCAATGTGGCACATTCCCTGGGGCCTGCACGCATTTACTTAACTCGCAGGGGCGCATGATGCACCTAATAGGACGTACGGTACCAACTGTCATGCAATACCACTACCCAGTGTCCAGTCTGTAGCATGTACCGGGTACGACGTACAACGTGGTGACAATGCAATGCCAAATGGTCCCATTTACCTATATGCATACGTACCATTGCACTGTACCTGCCAAGAACCGGCGGACAGATTCTCTTCAATACAGGCCAGCCGCTATGGCGCCGGCG